AAGAATATGTGTTTTTATTTTCCCCTGTTGGTTTTAAAGAGAATTTATCACTACTGGAAATATTTTCGTTTTTTCCAGGGGTCTTAAGACAAGGAAGGTAACAGGAAAAACAACGCCCATTTTGGGAACACCCTCCAGTGCTTCTTTGACTGTGAGGCGGATCAGGGCTCGGCGGCGTATGTGTCCTTCGACCTCCAGCGGCAGATGCTGCAGGCTGGGTGGGTGGGGTGGGCGGGCTGGGCGGCGTGGGAGGGGTGGGAGGGGTGTGTGGGGTGGTGAGTGGTGGTGGGTCTTCCCTTCCTAGAAAAATGGTTTCTGACCAAGTAATCCACAAGACAGCAAGAAGCCGAGAAACCCGTTTCGCGAGGCAGTGCGGCAAATGGCGGCCAGTTCCGCTTTTGCCGGCACTCCCTTTTTTCGTGAGCACCGCATTTTCCGGGCACGTTTGTTTTTGAGACTTCCCTTTTGGGGATGGTTCATGGGGAAACCAAAAGGAAAGCTTTTTGAGACGCCTGCGAGGAGATCCGGCTTTCTTTTTTGGCGTTTTGGACGGTTCGGTGCGGTTTCTGGCAGGGAGCGGTGAATGTTTTGTGCTAAAGCTGGTCAATGGAAAGAGTACAATCAGTATGAATAGTTTACCCCTGCCTATTGTCTCATGGGTTTCTTCTGATGTGCACCAACGGGTTCAACCACTTTGCACTCATACCAATGTGGGGCTTAGGGGCAAAAGCGGTTCGGACGGAAAGGACATGTCTTATTTCGGAAAGGGCCCAAAAAGCTCAAACTTGCCATGTGCGCTTTCGTTTGCGTTTGTTGGTGTGTGTGAGTACCGTGCTGGAACACGCGCGATAACCTTTTTCTTGACAAACTTTCTAAGGAGCTGGGGGGCGACCTGCCCTGTCACAGCGGGCTCTGGCAGTTGCTGCTTTGATCGGTCATTTGAGCTTCGGTTGAAGCGTGGTTGTTGAACCAAAACGGGTATGAGCTTACATATGCAAAGCCAACAAATGGTACCCAAATCATTCCTATGGCCGTCAAGGACCCCTCGCAATCCCAATAGGGGCTAATAGTGCCCAATAGGGATTCGAACCTCTAAAAGGCCCTTGAAAATCGCGTGAATCTCAGATCCATCTGTATGAGGGGCACCCTGTTACCTCTTGGTAGGTCCACAAGGTCGAAACAGCACACATCCTTGAGGATGTGTCAAATCGTGCCTTGCTTTTAAGGGTTTTCTTTTGGTTTCCCTTGAAAGCTGAACAGGGTACGAATATATGACTTATGGTTGTCCTCAATGGCCCGCTCCCTAATCCACAATCCGCTGTGGGGCTCCAAGCTGCCGTGCATTTTAAGCCAACCCAAAAAGGGTTCCAAGGCGCGCAAACCTAGGACGAGCGCCGTGACTTCCTCGAGAGCCGCTACGAGTCTCGGCATCTGCGCGCAACGGCCGGGTGTCTCAGTCCTTTTTTTCGCAGGGCCCGGGCGAAGCGACTCGATTCGCCCAGGTTCATTCAAGCAGTCAGAAGCATGGTAATTACCCTTTGAACCCCAACGAAAGACGGTGGGAAACGTCAACTCATCAGGCCTGGTTCCTTTGGAAGACATGACTGGGCGGGTTTCCGTTCTTGCCCTCAAGGGTCATGGCCACAAGTCTTGCGCAAGTTGCTCGGCGATGCAACAGGGCCTCCGTAAGCATGGGGTTTGATGGTTTCTGTTTTTGTGCCTTCATGAAGAGCCGGCAGCTGCGGCTTCCGTCAAATGGTCCATTTTTGGGGATGGCTTGATGGATGGCACTGGAGGCCATAAACCATTTGGAGGGTCCAAATCTATTTGGAGACAAAGCCACAAGGGAATGAGTTTTGATTGGTTGGACCCTTGTGATGGGCATCATGTTACATGAGGATATGTCACCACCAACCAGTTCGGAGTCTTCTACATGGGGTGACCATTAGCGAAACCACCAAGAATGACGACTTTCACCGCTAAACGGGAAAAGTTACTCATGGCCATGTCGGGGTCGAGCGGAATACAGATCAATCTCCATATGGTCCATATCCATACCAGCCCCATGTTCCCTTTGGTGCATGTTGCTTGGATGTTAGGACTTTAACTTTCTTGCTAGCTAATGGGGTTTCCATTAAACCACTAAAAGTGAGTCACTTTTAGCAGGGGAGCAGAACCGAGTTCCGGTCCATGTTTTTTGTCCCCGAGGTCGCCTCCTACCTCTTCCCCGACTGCTACCCAGATGATCCGGCCCACGACCCAGTGACCTGGGGCTGCTCGGCGAATTCGACGGGGCGGGCATTCCGCGGGGAGGAATGGTGGCCCATTGATCAAGCTGGCGGAGTATGTGTTTTCAGTCTTTCCCAAACAAGAAAAAGAGGGAATCGATTTGGACATTTGGGCTCCTGTTCGGAAAACGAACAAAGTTCATGTCCAACTGGGTTTTTTCCACTAAGGTGCAGGAGCACAAGGATTTGGCTGTGCTGACTTTCTTTAATTCAACCCCAAGAAGGGTACCCTTAAAAAAGCCCGCTCCCATTTGTTTTTCACACCCCGCAGCCGCGTGGTTCGGGGGGCCCGGACTCGGGTTCGAACAAATGAATGGGTTCCGATCGCTTGCCACCAAGGGGCATTAGTTTTCGTTTTTTCAGTACCGAAAGGTGCCCGCTGGTTCGAAACCAGCAGCACCCAAGGGCTTGTTTGATAGTTGATTCACCCCGCTTGTTGGTCATGTCCGTGAGATTAATCGACCCTCGCGATGAATCCACTCCCTCACCTAGTATTGTCGACTGTCGTGACTTCAAATGGCTGGGTGAACCCAAATTTGTCTCTTGCAGTTGAGGGGGATTCCTGGTTTCCAGGGAGCCTTTGCACTGAGGTGGGGGGTTGTCTGTCAAGATGTTTGTGACCCGCTTTGCGGACCTTTCAAGGGAAAATGGCGCGAACCTTGAGAATGAAGCTCCTGTCGGCCTGAAGGGACCACGTTGGTGCCCAGAAAGGAGCCACACTGCCATATCCACGTTGCAGGTCTCACACTTAGACAGCCAACCACCCTGCCCTTTGCCACCCGCGGTAAGGTCCTATTGGTTCTGCACGAATCAGGATCCCGCAGGTCAAATCGATCAAGTGACTTACCCAGTAAGGCTCTTTGTCAGGGACTGTGCATCTCCGTGTGTATGTGTGCGGGTGTATTAGATGAGGGTATGCTTTTCACGATACTTTACGGGAAACAATACGGAAAGCCACCAGTTGGTGAATTTCAAGAACTGGTGCGGATGGCTGCTTCCAAAGGGAATCCAGGTGAAGTTTGCTAGAACACCACGAAATGAAGTATGGGTTCATTTTGAAGTGTCCAAACCCAAACCTTATGCGGGGCAGCTGTTTGCATTCCTTGCGTTTTGGGGCATTTTCCATGGTAAGGGTTTTAGCAGAGCTCAGGTGGGGTGATTTCCTTTGATACTCCCCCCCCTCCTTTCAGGGCAACCGCCTCACAAGGGGCGTTCCACATTCCATTTGCTCCTTGAGTATACCACGTGTTTCCAAAACCAAAAGAACCAGCTGCAAACCTCCCCGAACGACACTCAACAAGATCCTCGAAGCCAGCCTTTACACCATAAGATCCGGGAAAACCAAGGACCACATTTTGAACACTCCCACCTTGGTCTTCCAAGTGCCTGCAGCAACAGGGCTCGTCTTGATTATTTTCATTTTTTAAAAGGAACATCAGCCAAAGGCCTGCTTTTGCAGGGTGCTGGAAGATCAAGGCTATATGGCCATGGGTCAAAATCAAAATCGCACCCCCAGTGAACATCCCAATCCCCACTCTAATAGGTTCTAAAATGGGTGCTGCACCTACCCCAAAATGGTACCATTGGTTTTGACCCACAGCCATATTCCGCCTATTTTCTACCTTCCTCCCTCCGCGCCCCCTCATCCCCCCCCCTCAAATTTCGCCCCGACGGGCCCAGAGGCTACCGGCCCCCCCGGACCCGCACCTCGCCGCTGCCGGTGCCCTACGACGCCGACAGCGAGCACCCACTGCTGAGGCCCCTGGAGGTAGCCGCCAGCACAGGCGCGAAGCAGCTGCCTGGGGGGTGGGGGTGGGTGGTGGGGGTGGGTGGGCAGGCGGGGGGGGTGCGTCACGTCACTGCCCCCAGTTGCTGATGGATTCCTGGGATTGGAATTCATGCATCCATTTCATGGTTTCAGTTATTGATAGTTGACTGGTTCATGGGCTTGATGCTTGGGAGAGTTTTAGTGGCAAACAAGAAGGCGAGCGCGTTCCGGAGTCCACCCCTTGTGTCTTTTTGTTTCAAAAGGGTTCATGGCCAAAGATGGTCAAACTGCTCAGTTGGAAGGAGGATACTGTGCTGCGGTACTACGTTTTTGTTTGATGGGTTCGAGTTGTGAAAAAGATCGAAAAGGGTTCCAAGATCGGCTCCCATCCGGGGCAACTGGGCCGGGCCCCAGCTTCAGCCCTTTCCAGTACCAGATGGAACAAACACAGGCACACGTAATACTTTGACCAATCTGGGTGTGTCTGGTTTCTTGAGGGTAGCCTTCCAGGTCAATCAATAGGAAGCCAAAGGAAAAGTGACTCATTTTAAACGGATCCACAATATGGGTATTCAAATAAAACCACCCGGACACCGGCTTTGGTCCATGTTTCCACTTAGGGCAACCCATTTTGGGGTGACCCTATTTTTGACCCACAGCCATGTGGACTGAACACCCAAACCCCGCGCCCCCCAAACGTCCCCCCAGACCCGCGCGGGGATCGACTCCTGGGATCGAAGGCGAGGCGGCGCGGCTGCTGCACTTCTTCGGGCTGTGGCAGTTGCGGCACCGGCCCCTCTTCGCGCTGTCCACTGGGGAGGAGCCGCTGTTCTCGCTGCTCTTTTTTTTCCTTTGCGGCCAATTTGTCGGCCTTTTGCTCCTTTCTTTCTTTCTTTTTTGGCGGGGGGGGTGGGGGGTTGGCGTTTTTGAAGGGAAGCCAAAGG